TACAACTGTTTCCATGACACTCCTTCATAGAAATGTGACTTAGCGCCACTCAGTTTTCACAAATTTTACTTTTCGGCTTTTTATTTTAATGAATCAGCTTCATCCTCCTTTTTTTTGTCTGACACAATCTTTACATATGCACATTATTATCTATTAAAAGAAGCTGTGTCGCATGAATGACAGTCCTCAGAGGCAAGAACCCATAAAACAACATTTGTATTAGTTTATATTGTAGGTTATTAAAGTCATATTCAACAATTATTTACTCTTCTTATGAAGTGGAGGAAAAAGTATGACAGTGTCACCTAAGGGAGGGTTGCTGAATGGTGAATATAGAAAGTATTCATGCAGAAAAATATCTATAAGTGCTTAACACATTATATTATCTGATTATTAAGACTGAGGGAAACCTGGCACGTTACTGTTGGTTCAAGTGGATCTAGTTTCAACTGTTAAATTTACTGTTGATGATATTTAAAAATTCTGTCACTTGTTATTTCTATTACAGTAACGATGGTATCCTAAAAATACCTAAAATCTAAAGTAGCTGACAGTGGGCTATTTCAGAGGAGAGTTACTTTCCACTCTTGGGTTTTAAGTTAGCGAGCAGAGTTCCCTCCACAGGCAGCTTAACACCCCATCACCCCATCACGACTCATGTGACCCTCACATGTGACCTCAAAACTCTCAACCCCCCCACTTCCAAAGTTACTTAGGTTTTTTAAAACCAAAGTAAATTACATATTTTATAGAATTATATTCTTTAAAAGCGATGAGGTGGGTGAATGAGAGAATGAACTTTTAGATTCCACATGAGCAGGAGCCAGGGGACCCACCTGCCAGCCTCTCAGCCACAGACAGGGTGTGCACCGTGGGCCCTGCTGCAGAGTAAACGTGGTACTGCTCCGCCATCTGCTGGTGCAGGTCGAACAGCATGGAGCTGGCACCGTGGAGAGGAAACACTCCACCGCTGGATGTCCCGCAGAAATTCAACGAGTTCATGGTGGATCTAAAGAACCAGAGAGTGAAAGGTGCCATTTTAAATCCATATGAAGGAGACATGAAGTCTGTGTCATTTGCTTTAACATCATTTTTACATGGCTCCACTTGTAAAAAGTAAAACTGAGAAATAACGATCACAGGAACCAACATCAGGTCACATTAAAACTATTTCCTCTGTTTTATCCCTTTATTTAAATGTTTTCTTTTACTGACCAATACAAATGTATTGTGGCAACACAACAAACAATGAAGAATCAAGAAGTTGTTTAAAAAAACTTTTGGATAGTAATTTAGTTGAGTGATGAGTCATTTTTAGTTTCAAGGTGTGATAGTAAAGTTTACTTAAATATAATTTGATTTACTGGAAAGTGAAAATAAACTTCTCTCAGTGAACTAAGGTCACGATGAGGATTTTTATAAAAACTCGAATG